CAAGTTATCAAAGGAAGAAAGGTCTCGGACGGGGTTGAATTCTACGTGGCAGCAGCCAGTAGCGAAGTACAACAAGATGCTGAAGCAAGTGGAGCTTGGCATGATTTGGTCAATGCTGGTGCCAAGGTATTACCAGCCGGTTGTGGTCCATGCATAGGTCAGTTAGAAAGTTAACTTGGGTATGTCTACTGATTATAAACTTAAGTTTTGACATTTTCAAACTAGGACTCGGAACGGGTCTTTTGAGAGACGGTGAAGTTGGTATATCTGCCACCAATCGAAACTTTAAAGGTCGTATGGGATCTCCTAACGCCTTAGCATATCTAGCATCACCTGGTATGTAGACATGAGGATGGGATGGGTGATAAGTTGTCATGAGTAGCAAATCTAGTTGACATATGGCATCTAGGTGGGTTATACTTATAGATATGCTCTGCTTTTATTATCATTGCAATTAAGCCGTCGTGGCTGCATCTGCTATAGCAGGAAAAATAGCGGATCCTGCAACATTCTCTAAATCATTCGAGCATGCTTCATATGCCGAATCACCAAGGATCTCTATCGTTTCAACACAAACATCAAACAAGCCAGCCGTTACTGAAATTAAACCTGTGATCTCTGGATTTCCTGAATCGATAAAGGCCGAACTGCTGTTTTGTCACGCGGATAATTTGAACACTGATGCAATTTACCCAGGAAAATACACGTATGTGGATGACTTGACTCCCGATCAAATGGCAAAGGTAGTCATGGAAAATTACGATCCCAAGTTTGTAGATTTGGTTCAGCAGGTCAGTTCATGAAATCTTTGATCATATTGTACTGAAATCATAACGCTTATACGAAAATGTTTACAATTCACTCATCTAAGGGTGACATATTAGTTGGTGGTTTTAATTTTGGTTCTGGCTCTTCTCGAGAGCAGGCTGCAACAGCCATTAAAGCAGCTGGCATTAACCTATTACTGGCAGGTTCATTCTCGGAAACTTTCAAGAGAAATGGTATTAACAATGCCTTGCTTCTACTTGAGGCACCAGAATTGG